ATCTACTAAAATTTCCCCATGAGTAGTGCTGAGGTGACAATGACCATTTGGGGCTTTTCTTGTAAATTGTATAACTTTGTAAAGAAAAGGTCGTGTAGAGTTGGGAGATGCCTCGTTTTAATCAGAAATTTATGGACTACAATTACGTCTCATTAAGAAAGCTTTTGGTTGTTCTGTGTTTAGCGTTTCTCGAAAACTGTTTTTCCAGAAAACCGGGTATTCAAGAGTCATGGACACGAACCCTTTTAGGGTGTTTACTGTCTCACTGAGGTCTATCAATCCATGTACAAATTATTGGAATCGGAAGATTCCCTTGTAAGTTTAAGTCGCTATAATCTTCAAAGTTCTCACTTTTTATTTTACTGAGGTTTAAACGGTTAGTTTTGGTCTCAATCAAACTTTGAGACCAATGTTAAGGTCAAAACATGTCCGTAGAATCTTTGTCTAACATACTTCATCTACTGATAATATTTCATTAAAATTCTTTTCTTCTACTAATTTTACTAATTGCTCGGGTGTTTTTCCCGTACTTCTCCAGTTGAGATCACCAAATATGAATTGATATCTTGAAGAAAAATAATAACAAGTTGACAATGGTTATTCCTTGAAGAGAGATGACACACATACTGATCTTTAAAAGAAAATTGATTATATTCGTCAATAAATTCTTTCCAAAACTGTCAGAAGAAAAAGATTTCAATTATTAATATAAAAAGGACTTATTGTTAAATAGAAGAGAGAAAATACTCACGTTACACCGCTCAACAACTCGATCTTCTTTCGCCGGAAAATGTCCACTAACAAGGAGAATATTGATCGATCCATCAATTTGTATTCGACCGGCCATAATACCCTTGTATCTCTACAAGATAGAAAATGAAGAATCAATCTGTAGACACAATATTCAATCTTCTAAACACACTTTGTCGACAAATGTTCTTCTAACTTTATTTTCATCTATCAATTGAACACGATTTTGTGAGGAATGTAGAACGTAAATTAACAGTTGTATTGGTTTATAGAACTTGCTAGTTAGTTCGCTAAAGAGGCCGAAATTGCCACCGACATGTGCATGATATAACTGCACAAAAGAACCAGTAAAAGACCAATATCTGATGATGTTAAAGAAAACTCACTTTCTTATAACCACGTTTCGCCATATATTCGGTCATACGACGTTGAAAATTTTTACTCTTATAAAACTTAAACATGGCCACTTCTTGACATCTGCAGCCATATTAGAATAAAAAAATTCACGTTCTGCTTTAATATTAAAATGGATAAATGAATTAGGCAGCGCCTGCTTGATTCAGATCCTTCTACAACTTCTACTGTCAAACCTAAGTTATAGTCTTTAATTCAGATGAAATTCCTCTTACAATATCATAAAAGATCTACCACTTTCTTGTGATAAGATTTTGCTGCATTGTGTCAAGATCGTGTCAGTTTTTGCGAAATTAAGTTCTTGTCATAAGATTTCACAAGAACAACTTATAAGAAGTAACAAGTTCATATGAAATCATGTGACAAAAACTCGTATACCTTTTCGAGATCATGTAAAATCTTAGTAAGAGTGTTGGCTCATATTTAGTTCTTATCACAAGGGCTACGATTGCTTGTCATACATCTTAAACAATCTTGCAAGAGGTGATGATTCATTCTTACCACATAAATTTTACTACAATATCCAGTATACATGTTACAGTGTAAATTAAAATTCAATGGAGTTTAAAATTCCATAAGTGGTGATAAAAGGCTTAATCTCTACTAGTGAAAAATGAAATGCAGATGTCTGCACATGGGCTGAATCATGTATTCTCCATAAACTAGGCTTTCAACTGCAAGATTGAGCTTACAGGCTTCCAGAACTGAATGAGAATATCCAAGGGCATCACAAGAAGTGAGAGTGAGTGGCAAACCAACTTCAAGTACGAAGCGTAGATATACGAATGTATCAGACCATATCACTTAGGATTTCGTTTTGCGACTCACTCATCTTGCATCGGATGTTCTCATCCAGTTCTGGAAACCTGTAAGCTCAATCTTGCAGTTCAGTACTTAGTTTATGGAGAATACATGCTTCAGCCCATGTGCACACATCTTCACTTCATTTTCCACTAGTAGAGATTAAAATTTTAATCTCCACTAGGGGAATTTTAAATTCCACTGACTTTTAATTTGCACCTTAACATATATACTGTTTATAACTGTAATCTAAGCTAATTCTATTGAAGCTGCATGAATTATGATCTAAAAGTCTCATAAAAGTGCAATTATGCCTCAAGTAAATGATAAGGTCTTCACCATCAAATACGACAAAATATCACAGATCTTCGCTTCAAACGTCGAATGGTTCATTAACCAGTGAAAAGATAAGGAATGAGTGTACAAATATACCCGATAGCTATAATGTCAGGTTGCCGTTGTTCATCTTGTGTCAACAATATCCGATTCCACGATTGTGTTGTTACTTTATGTGCATTACCATACATATTATATGTAACGATTCGCACCCTAAATACGAGAAAAATCACAAACAAATTTATTAGTGTACAACCGTGAATATAACAAACTTTAATAGTGCTGGCCATTTTGCCAAAATACAAAATGGAAAAACAACAATAAACAGTACCACATTTATATTAAATACAATCATCACTGCTTATAACTGTCTGTTAAGGAACAGATGAGCGAAATAAAGTAGAAGAGAAACAAGTAGATTTTTGTTTCGATAGTATATATGATATAATGCTTCTCTTGATATAAAGGATAAAAAAAGAGCATCAACTTGGTTTGAAACAGTACACAGAAATTTACAACTAGAACACAAAAAAGAAAATAGGATGAATGATGACCAAAGTTGTCATGTCATCGCCATATACTACAAGTAAAAAAGAATAGAGAACATAATACATGCATATTTTAACACAATCATGATATATATAACTTGTCTTAAATGTTTTCTCTCATAATAACCTCGTTAGAACAATTTTTGAAGTTCTTCTCCTGGATTTGATCTTCATACATTGCACTTCTCCAACTACGCATTTTTCTGTTGCACTAAATTATACAAAAGGAAAGACTACGAGTTATAACGATACATTCGTATTAATGTCGTACACTTACGTTTATATTTGAATAGTCTTAGTTCTACTTAGTATAATTAGTAACATGTGAGTGATTATTCGTAAAGACTATTTAAATATAAACATAAGTGTACGACCTTCCTACGAACGTATCATCATAATTGTACAATTTAGTACAATGAGAAAATGGGTAGTTGGAGAAGTTCAACATATGAAGGTCGAAAGATCGAATCTACGAGAAGAATTTCAAAAATTGTTCTAACAAAATATCTCCCCTATAATCACTATTTCTCCATAATAATCTCGTTCATAGAACAGTAAAACTAAAATGGCGAATTATTCCATTTATCGATATTGTTACGTATGAGATGTATAAAACTGCACTTGTTTTATATAAAAATCATCAAAAGAACGAAGGTGCTTTAGAGGACGAATCGGCCCACTCGAATTTATCTATTTCTAACGAGTTCATTAAAAAAAAGCATATCCTATTATTCTTTCTTATTCGAGAGGCAAGAAAGTGAAAAAACCAATGAAAACAATTTTTTTTCCACCATCCTTAGCCATCCAACTCGTTATTTAATTATTTCTCTTAATAGAAAAATAATTGATATTCTTTCGGCCACCGTTAGACTGACGATGAAAAACTAGATTAAAAGACCTTCTAACCATATGCTTCACTACTATTTTTTTAGAAAATGACAGATCAAACTGTCACATGCATACATACTCAAAGGAGTACAGGTGTATTTTTTTTCTCTACTTAAAAGTCTCGTCGAATCGGACAGTTTATATATAATTCGAGTCTTTTAAGTGTAATTTTCATGCGTTCTTTCAAAGAATGATTATTTAGCGAGACAAAAGAGCTTAATACTATCCACTTTTGAAAAGAATATCGATGGGTAGTTTATGAAAAGCTCAAAAACGAAAAGCGCTAGAGACCGGCGTATTGGTTCAAAGTATTTCTATGAATATACAGTGGTGGCCAAAACTCTGAAATCCCTATATTTTTGAAACTTTTCGATGCAGCCGAGCAGCTAAGCCAATACCCTTGAAGTTTTCCATCAGATGCAGTATGTGTCAAAGTTTCCAAAAAGATGTTGAAGAAAAGAAAGAAAGAAAGCCGCTCCTGCGGAACTCTAAGTCCTAAAGGATTTTGCTAAAAAGATTTTCAATATAACCATCTATAATCCATTCTAATTCATCATTACTAAAGTTGTTATCAATTTTATACAAACTTCTTTGTTCATTTCTTAATATCGTTTCTGGATTTATTGAAACTAAACGTGGATTAACACAACATTGGAACACTAATTGATAATATTTCTGTTCTCGTTGTTGGTTTTTACTTCTCTTCCATGGTTCAGCATATCGAGAATATGCACAATATTCGATTGATGGTGATAAATAAACACATGGACGCTTTGTCCAACAATAATCATTTGCTGCTTTCAAACCAGAGTTTACAATTAATGATGCTACACTACTTTTCGTACCGTGATATGCGACATACCAATTACCCCATCGTTTATCGAATTCGTCTTGTGTACGTGTTACTTGTATACCAAATCTTGTCCAACCAACAGGACAACAATATGTTTTATTCCCATGTGGCAGTAAACCAGACCAATAATTACCATCAGATACTTCGTAAGTCATATTCTATTTTGGCTTCATTAATTGATCATCCATTTGCATCATACCTAATGATATTGAATTTACCTTGAGGTTTTTTATTTGATAAATATCGTTCACTAATTTTTTTAATACAATTTCACCACGAGGTGGATATATGCACGCATGTAATATAATGCGACCTTTTTCAATTTTTTTGATTTCTATTGATTTTTCATTGATATTTAATTGTATGCATTATGATGCAAGAAATGTTGTCTTGTAAACAATTGTCTTCAAAGTAAGACGACGCGGTGTAATCTCTTTGAGTTTTAGAATGTTTTGTTTTTCCATATGAATTCTGCGATCATCACGAAAAATACAGGTGATCTACTGTAAGTAAGAAAAGACGTAACAGTCACATACTGTTGCTCTGAACTTAGATAAATGGTTAATACTTATGTATTGAACGACCCGGGCAATATCGTCAGTGTGAGAGTGAAAAGCGACGATGCTGTCATTAGAATAAAAGCTAATTGATAAGTGCGCACAAACGACAGAGCCAATCGATAAGCAAGATAATTTACTTTAGGTATGCACTAATATCAGTATTTTATTGAACTACTGCCACCGGAAATACTGATAAAACAATTTTTTTAACAGTTTTAATTAGCATTTTTCACATTGAAGGAAGTACTTTTGAGATCCGAGTCTGGAACATGAGATACAACAAATTTACTTTCCTAAAAATTATTTGCCGGAACCGAGTTTTTGGAAG